GGGTGTAGAAACACATTTCCACAACTGTACCAGCTAAGTCAACTAGTTAGAAGTATTATTGTATGTTCGATGACAAGGAATAGTCATCTTGCGAGCCTTAAGAGTCGGGTCTGAGTTTGCCACACTCCAGTGGTGGTGGCGTTTACGATACTCAACAGGTGATAGATGGTGTACTGTTACCTGAGTGATGCGCACAAAGAATGTTGTGGGTAGATGGATGCTGTGAATGTTATCATCTGTGTACATATAAATATGACTATAGAAAATGAAGAAAATGTCTTTCGCAAATGCATAAATTACACAAGAGAAACAAACACAAACACAAACAGAAAGAGAGAGAGAGAGGGGGGGAGGTTGCAGGAGGGGGACACCAGAAACACAAGCCAGGAGGGTGAGGGAGACACTACACACCAGCTTGCGAAATAAGCTTCGTGACTTTGTTTTGAGTTATTGAATTATTACCTGACGCCCTTTTGTTCACACACACACACACACACACTAAAGCATTTAAGTGTGTTTAACTTCACGATGAAATTAGAGAGAGGAGACAAACATGTCATTTTTATCTAGTCATATCTACTCATACTTAAGTGTTTAAATGTATATTAGTCTACAATGGTGAAACTAGAGACAGGGCGCCACAGAAACAATGTTATCTATCTGTTATTTTTATCCCTCTCTTATTTTGTGCGGGGTGGATTTTCAGGGGACAGAGAAACCTAATTAAAGGGAGAAAATAACTTGTATGGAGGGTGGTGCAAGAGTCGTGTAAGAACCTACCGAAAGCATCAAAGACAACAAGTGACCCAAGCCCCATGTGTGTCTGTCTAGCCAAGATCTTTGCTTGGTCTGACAGTCGGGTTATAAGAGTGGGGAAGAGAAGACACGTAGACTCCACAATAAAGAAAACAAAATGCGACAAACTTATGCCTCACTAAGACTGCATGAGACACTATATATAAAGACATTCACGAAGAAATTCCATATTAGACTAATTTTCGATATGGAGTCGTAAATTGCAGCTGTTTGTGTGACCTATTACCTGCGTTTACCTTTCCAGTGTTGACCTACAAGTAATCTCTTCTTTCTTCCGGTCATGTAACTGTCCCATGATGTTTATAACGAAGAGAAAGAAACTAAGTGCTGGTTATAATAAATGAAGGACTATTACAAGAAGAATGTTTGTTTTGGTAAGTAGAGATTGATGTCATAGTTTTTGGATGGTGTTATGTTTAACCTGATAAAGCGTCTCCCAGAGTTACTGTAAGTCCCAGTTGGTTAAATTTCACACTCATTTAGTCAAAGTATCATCTACCCATGGAAAACACACACACACACACACACACACACACACACACGAACGCGAAGAAAATTGTCAACAAAGTAATCAGCCATGATAGTGGTGCCACAAGAACACACGGACGAGTGACATCTCATAACCTCATTATACGAAACCCTCAGGAGGTGATCACAACCAATTACCTACACCAAGGTAAATTTTTGTCCCAGACTCCCACGACGCATGCCCGCTGGTCAAACCCGTGACGTCATCACACGCAGCTATATAAGAAAGGGTCGCCCTGGCCGTTCATCCATTCACATAATCTCGGGCGCACGAGACGCAGCAGGTGACGGGCGCGGTGTTCTGGTAGTGGTGTGTTTTGTGTAGAGACGAAGCTCCGCCCTTGACTGGGTCTGATATGAACAAGAGATATATCAAACATTCGTGCTTATTTTGTAAATTATTATTGACTTGACAAGTGTACACATACTTTTAACATTAGAAAAGAGAAAAAAAGTATTGCAGCAGTGATTTCAATGCGACAAAAACAGCAAGCTCGGGAAGTGAAGGAACTGGTATACGGCTTTATAGTCTACCTCCAGGCCAATATGTGAAGATGCCACAAGTGGTGCAGTCTCGCATTTGTGTACAAGATGAGCTATCTTTTGCGGTGTTATTATGTCTGAAAAACGGCGCCCCTAGAGTGAATTTCCGTCCAAAGTTGAGTTAAACTCTGGATTAAAATTATATAACCATATACCGGTGTTTCCCACGTGTTTTACAGGAGTATATTTATTGGCAAAAGAAATAATTGTTAAAATTAAATATAGTAGATATTCGATAGTTCAGAGCTCGATCTTTTGAACCACACATCATTTAATTGTTTCAGAGGTTGTGTTAAGTTACAATCGGAGAGTGAGAGTGTGTGACGAGGAAAGGGAGGAATTAGAAAAGAAAAGGGCAAACATTAGTGGGAAGAAGGGGAGTGGTAGTAGGTGGCAGGGTGGCAGTCTGGCAGGTCTACTTTTTATAATTCCGGTGCCCTGCAGGGCTGGTCCTCTCAAGTAATGTGTAAGGTCGATTTCACTCTCCATGAACTGGGGACGAGAGAACCCATCTTACGACCCCAGTCAAAGAAAGTTGTTAGATTGGCACTGAGACTACAGTACCAGAAAAGTTTTCGTCTTCAGTTAATATAAAACATAACGATTAAACATTTGAGAACCCAGACCTTGGTGCGTTTGTACTACAGTGATAGAAGTTATGTGAGGGCGTCTTTTCGCGTGTGTGACTCCAGGATGTGATGGTGGGTGTAGTATCCTTCTTCAGGCTTTATGTATATTTTTATTTCTCGAGGATCAGTTTTTGAGTTATGTATCGTATGAGAGGACTATGTCTAATGTACGATCTCTTATGTATACATTAACTGTTACATGCTTCAGTCTAGTGGTGGTGCTAACTTTATTGTATCAGTGTATAAGATACATCCACTTCAGGGAAAGAGAATGACGACTCAAAATACTTCAGGAACATTGATGCATGAGATTCGTTGTACTCACAGAACATGGCGGATTACAGTTAATATATAACTTTGGATGTAGAGTATAAGAGTTGGTACGTGTTGTATGATAGTTTCCATGAGTGTTACATGACTACGTGTCCAGCATCGTCTTTAAGGATGGTTCCTGAGGGGGGGTTTATTTATAGGAGAGACTAAACAAGTTTTTAATGTTCCTTTGAATTTTTAACTTCTTGCCTACTGCTATAAAATCCATGGGGCAATAATATGATCTATCAATCTTGCATTTTTCATGTTAGGCTTTTATATAAACTGATGTATATACATATTTTGTGCACTAAGAGAGAGTTGGTGTGCATTCTTTACCATACAGTAGAGAGCATGTTGTATATGTATTTGTATGTTAATCTTATACAGAGTGAAGGAGTTGTATTATGCCCCCTGATATATCGTGAATTATATTTTCTCTAGCCTCTCACTTGACTTTTAATTACAGCTGATATTTGATAAGAGGTTAGGTCGAGGTCTTTGTAAGAGTCAAGTGGTGTCATTATTGAACCTAATATGGGTTACCTGGCTGCTGATTCCTGCTTCTCTCTCTCTCTCTCTCTCTCTCTCTCTCTCTCTCTCTCTCTCTCTCTCTCTCTCTCTCTCTCTCTCTCTCTCTCTCTCTCTCTTGCTTGCCTCTCTCTCTCTCTCTCTACCATTCTGCTTGTCTCTCTCCCATTCTATCTGTCCACTGCATGTCTCTCAAGTTTAATCGTATTTGACCATGGAGCAAGTTGTTTAAGTGCTAGAAGTAACCACACACAAACACACACACACACACACACACACACACACACACACACACACACACACACACACACACACACACACGTTCCTGTAGATGTCCCCGTTGGGTGTTTCATTGTCTATGTTAACATGATTGTGTGTCTTGTGTTAGCAAATTAATATATATGTTCTTTTTTTTTTAAAGTCATGTCACACCGCTTATAGGGTTATGTTGGTAACCTTTACATTTGACATTGGGTTGTGTTGTAGTATGTTTACAGTTATGTTGTAGAGTGTGTTTACAGTTGTCTTAATAACCCTCACGTTAGAGTGTATGCAAGGGTGTGTTGTGGTAGGACTGTGTCGCAGGGTGTGTAAAAGTTGCGTAACGACGTAGCACAAACACCCAGGTATTTCTCCCATATCGTGTCAAATAACTCTCAGTATTGGTACCATTGCTTCTCAGAGTCTATTGCTTCAACAGGTGTAGTGTACTCGAAGCAGGCTGGTCATGATCACACACGTATGAGCACAGTTACATAAGAGCGGTGTATGTAGACCCTATCATACACCCGCCACGCTGTATGGTTACTGCTCTGAGGACAATAAATGCTTGTGAATATGTGTGAGTTCGACTGTATGTATGGATGTACTGTATGTGTAGTTACGTATATCCATGTGTATATGTGTGTGTTTGTGCGTGCGCGCGCAGTTAAACACTTATCCTTAGCGTGTTTGAAATCGAAGAGAAACGTAAAACCAAAGTTACAGATAACACACACAAAATGTATATATATATATATATATATATATATATATATATATATATATATATATATATATATATATATATATATAATGAGCCTTCCCCGCCAATACACGATTAGATTCCAGGGCGACCTTGAGGGGGGGGCACTAAGGGCGCGAAGACTCACCGCTGTGGTAATTGTGGGACGGCCAGTGAGCTCCCACAGGCCCTCGCTTGGTCACTCTGCGGTGCGAGTTACAGCAACACTATTCACTCATCCAGAATATATTATATTTGTGGCGTAACGCTACACAGCGGGGAAATATGTTGTGGGAGAGGTGGTGCAACATGGCTACTCACTATTGTTTCTACTTGTTGTCGTCCACTTTTACAAATTGACCTTTCAATGACAGTTTGATTTATTTATTTGCCTAAAGTTACACGTCCTATGGATGTTTCCTTAATGTTCAGCTCTGCATAGCCTGTGTGGCGCAATGTGGCGTGGAATATGATGGTGTGAAGTAGTAGTGGTGTAATACCAGTATTTCTTAAGGTGGCGAGCGATGCCTGGACACTTCAATACACGCACCCCTGCCTGACTAATGTCGTACTTAACAGGATTTTATCCTCCTAAAGGGATTAGATTCTGTCTAGGACAGTTAAACTATAAGGGTTCAGATAGTTATGTAGATCATTTAATCCTCCTTTAGGAGTTAAGTATAATATAGACAGGCGCTAGAAAGGTTACTGTGGTGTTAAATCTCTTCCAAGGACTTATATGTCATTTGGAATGCTTTGTCCCGCTGTACTTGTCATCTACCTCATTATAGTGCTCAGTTCATAAAGGTTAGATGGTGCTAGGAAGACATTTAGTCCAGCTAAGAGGTGTCATATCACTAGCGTACTACGTTCTCCCTAATTACTCTCACCTAACACCCAAACAAATATTATCCGCCATAGGTAACTTGAATAGCGCATAGAGCTTATAAGATGTTCATATTTTCTTATAGGCTATATATTTATGTATATGATATCGTTCGTAGCACAGAACAACACCTACAGTCTGCTACCAAATAACCTTGTACTAAATGTCAGTTGCGTAGTTCCTTGTGGCATCTTACAGTATGTACAACCTAACCATTGATTTTTTTTGTCCATGTGGATAAAATTCATATTTCAACCAAAGACAAATAATAAGTTACAAAACGAAGGCTTCAAGATTAAATAAAAAACAATAAACGAAATAAAACTAAAGGTTCAAAAGTTAAACAAAAGAAAATAAACATCACAAGAAACAGAGACTGAAAACCATATAGCAAGCGAAGTTATCCCGCAGAGCGTCCGGACAAGAGGATTAGTATGTGTGGCGGAAGCTTCTCCCAGCACCTCTGAGTGGAGCGTCGCCTTACACGATCCAACCCTACAAGATGAACGGGATCTCCTCTACATCGACCCTGATACTATTCTTAGGTAAGTCCTCTCGACATTCTTCTGTTTCGGGAATTCATTTTGGTTAGAGGTGCATTGTGTCTTAAACTTGAAATGGAACTGGGGACTATAGATGGACTTACTGTAGACACTATGGAATTAAACTCCACCTGAATGTTGTAACCGGAATCTCCCTACCCATTGGTAAGGTATGCGTACCACCTTCCCAGAAGATCAGGTTATCTCCTTCAATTGAGTCAGCCATTGGTGTTCAACCTCGAACATACTCCCACAATTGTATTATTATTTTTTGCTGGGGGGTTGGTAAGGTTAATCAATATACCAGAAAAATAGTGTTAAATAAATTGCATGCATTTAGGCCAGGGTAACCTTCGATCAAAGCTTATTTTCTATTTACTCTTGCTTCCTGTTATTGTCTGATGATACCTGGTGTTACCTCTTGTTAGTTCATACCTATTGCTCCCTCTGCTAGTCTATTCATAACTGCCATTACCTGTTTATACCTAATAACACCTGTGACTCCATTGACGTTTCCCTTTCGTTCCTCTCATAAAATTTGAGTCGATTATCCGAGTTTTTCTTTATTTAACTCCACAAGAAAGGATATGCCGATCAAGATGCGCAGCCCAGGTTGTCTAAAAGGCCTTGACTGTTTACTTTTTTTGTGTGGAAAGAAACCTTGAGGCAGAACCCACTTGTAAGCGACCTTGCAACCCTGGTACTTACTGTATGCCATCACGAGGAGGTGCTGACTCTAGCTGAAGGCGGGTATTATCGAGTACATATATTTGGTGCTATAGCTTGTTTCGTACACGAGTAGTTTTTCCCAGATGATGTTGTTAATAGCAAGTTTTTTCCTTTGTTTTAATTTGTTTAGAATGTCGTTTTAATAATAATACTTTTTTCTTGAATGTTTTGCTAATATATATTTTTTTAATGTCACACTTTTAATGCACATGTTTTTTTTTTACTTTACGCTATCAATACTCATGTTTTTCAAGGTTATGCTCTTTGTTCCCATGTTTTCTTACGCTTCTAATACACATGTTTTCCCAAGGTTACAATGCAATTACACGTATTTTGGCGTTACTGTGTTACTCTCCTGTACAATACCTCTCGTTCTATCAGTCGTCAAGGCTTAGAGAACACAATCAACCTTCGTGGAGATTGATCAGCTGATGTCTGTCATTATCAGTAGTGACTGTGGTTTTAAATAGGAATTCATTTCTTGATGGCTATGAGTGTTGGTGGGTGTCTGTCTGTCACTGAAGGTTGTGGCGACTCATGAAACTGAGTTTCGAATAAGGAGCAGGAGGGGAAGTTGTTGACTCATGAGTCTTACTGTAGTGTAGAGAGATGGGGAGGGGAAGTTGTATCAATACTTCCAAAGAGGAAACACTTCCTTCACCTGTCATTTCCTCCCTCCTATCCACTCACCAACATCTCTCTCCATCCGTCTCTAATCTAGCTACTCTTTCATTACACATTCCCCTTCAACCTCTCCTCTATTTATGGACTACTCTTTCTGGTACAAACGGGCTATTTCCGAAATCACTAGCACGTCCCGGCGTGAGGGGTGGCGAGTGAGCGTCTACGGACCATAGACCAGAATGATGAGGCAAGTGTCATCATCCACACTTGTTGCCTCATCAAGCACCCATACAGGTGTCTTGGGTCAGTAGCGTCGAGCGTCAGAGTAACAGCTGGGATGGGGAGTTAGGGGGAGGGGGGCAGTAATGGGTTATGTATCGGTAGATTAACAGGAGCTAGAAGAATGATAGTGTAACAGACGATACAGAAGATGGATGAAGGAAGTATTAAGAAGATAAGAACGATAGTTACCGCTAAGTGTTAATAACTCACGGGTGTTTTGTAAATCAAATGTGTTCACCTCAGCTCCGGTTCCGAGACCTACTGTACACCAGTGGATGTTCGACCTTGTGGATTAAAATTAGCTAAGATTTACCCAGCTTTGCACTAATACTCGATATATGGACGCTCCAAATATGTAGTGAACACGCCCAAGGAAGATCTACCAAGTACATTATTTGACAAAAACCAATTTATTTTCATAGCGTTGAATCTGTCTATGAAATACTGTTGACATATGCAAAAACTGAGTTATCTTTCTAAGCCCAGTGTATTCTTCTTAGAAGACTGCTGAAAAAAAGCTTGTATGAATTTTTTTATTCGCATTTGGTGAAACTGAAAAAAGGGCAAAGAAGAATAATAAGATGGTCAAGAGGTGGAATAAATGAAGAATTAAAGGAACACATGTTGCGTAACAGATAAACTAAAACTTTTAATCTGAAAATGTTCTTAAGATCGGGTACATACGAGTATATATAAGGAGAGAAGGGGCTAACAAATAAAGGACATTAAAAATTATGATAAAAAGAAAAAAAGAAAACTATACACAATAAATAAGACCATAAGGGCGACGGACAAATAAGGAGGAGTTGGTTGTCTGGAAATACGAGACAAAAACTAGAGCAAGGTGGTGCCACAGCCCTGGTCACTGAACCACTTGTCTCTTACTAGTCATGCACCACAAACACTGCGCCTCGCTGGTACTCCCTGTGTGTGTGTGAACGGCCAGACTCAAGAGGGTGAAAGTGAAGTTCATCCCTAACTATACCCACTCTCTGGCTCCCTCTCCAACATCCTTCTCTACACCATGTCAACACTACCCTTCCCATTCTCTCTCTTGTTCCCTATTCACCTAGTCTTCACTACCTATTCTCTCCTTCCCATCCGTCTCCTTCCTTAAGCCCTCACCATGATATTATTACCTTTATTACCCCTCTCCCTTTTATATTCATGTCTCTTCTAAGTCATCTATACCCTTCCCCCTCCCTTCCTTCATTCTCTTGTTCCTTTACAAATTCCCCCTCTCTTCCTCGTCCTCATTAGCTCTATTTCATTATCCTTCCCATCTCTCCCGTCACCCACGTTTTCGATAGCTCTCCTACATGTTCTCCCACCACCCCCTCCCATTTCTTCACTAGTTCCTCTCCATCACCATCAGGCTCAGAACCATCACTGCAACACGACATCAGTGACGGTGAGGGAACACGCTATCATGTGTGAGAGTGACGAAAACAAGCATGATGCAGTCACCTGGTGTAACGTAACTCACACCTGGTGACGCTGCGACGCTATTCTGTTGATACTTTAACACGTTGGGTTCATACTACTACTACTACAACTACTACTACTACTACTACTGATAATATTAATAGTAACAGTAATAATGATAATGCTTATGATGGTAATATTAATAATGATATCAATATGTATGGGCTTTCAAAATAATAGCACAGCACATGTAAAGCTCATGTTAATATAGTATGTTAGGACTCGATCCCTTTAAGCCGAAAGACTTCCTTTAAAGATCCTGAACCATCTTAAAGTTTGGTGAACTGAAAGCACTCCTCACAATAATAAAAAGTCATATTAAAAGTGAGAGTAGGGAGGTTGGATTACATCGAAGGCGTGTTATATCCGATATATGGACTAAAAATATGTGATTGAAATCAAATCCCCGACCTTTTCCACTGTAACGTGATCCTCCAGAGCCTCTTGATCTTGGAGGAGAGGATGATGTGATTTTCCAGACGCTACACCTGGACCTACTGCCACCCACCGTCCTTTCTCCCTTTCTCCCGTCGTGTCCCCCCGGCGACGTCCAGGCCATCACTTTCTCTGCCTCAACCTGTGCATCTTTGCGGAACCTCACACCTCATCTTCTCTCTCCATGCTACCACCTCTGTTTAATCGGATCCCCTTCAGGTATTTTCCTCTCTCTCTCTCTTTCGCTCTTCCCAATTTCATCTCCTCACAGCCTGTTCACCTTACCCCTCCCTATCCCTCTCTCCCATCTTACCACACCAACCCAACCATTCACCTGGCCAATTACGACAGAGGTCCACGTTGAGGACACACCACACCTGAGTCAAGACAGGCGGACGTAGTAGCCCTGAGTCCCTGTGGTTCCTTTCCCTCTTGTTGACATTCCAACACTGAGGGTCCGGCCAAACGTGTCCAAGAGCGTAATTATGTTGGTTACCTGTTGAAGCTGTGTGTGTGTTGAGGAGTAGGAGGGAGGATGAGGAGGGGGGAGGGTGTTGACTACTGTGGGGTTTTTTTCATTTATTTTTCTACTATTGATTATTTTTTTCATTTTCTTTATCTTGTCATCTTCTTTATTGATATTTTTCTGTTGTTTCTAGACTTTACTTTTTATTACTTTTTTTACTATGTTTTTCCTTTGATATTTTCTTGAATGTCTAAAAACAATGTTTGAGAATTGCGTTAAACTCTTCTTTCACTGATCGATACACTAACAACTATTGAAATAGTTACCATTAGGGGATTACTATGACATAAAAAACACATTAACTTGAACTGTTGTCGTAATGGCTGAGCTAGTGTGTTCTTTTCACAGATCAACTTCGCTGTAATCCTGAAGTAATGATATAAAATGAAGGTGATGTAGAAAGTGCTAAAGATATGGGGAAATAACGATTGGCTTTTTAGAATACAGTAATTAATATGATAGACAATACAAACTTCTACCTACATGAGTCAACCTCTCGTTACACGCGCTGGTTCCGATGTTTTATGACACGGATTCAAGCTATTTATTGCTCATTATATACAGGTCAGGTTGTGTCAGCTCGAGGCTTTTCTTTGCGATGTATCATACGTGAGTAAATTTTAATTGTACTTATTAGTATTTACACATTATTTCCAAGTCAGAGTTTGTCAGCTCAAGGACACCTGGGTAATGTGTCTTTCTGTCACCTTACGACACGCAATGTTTATCCCACACACGTACCGTCCAAGTCAGTGTTTGTCAGATCAAGGCCACACTAGCGATGGATCCTTTCTGTCACCATAGGATACAGAGAGTGTTTGTTTCTCACACGTAACTTTCAGGTCAGAGTTTGTCAGATTGAGGTCTATTTAGCGATGCATCAGCAGTGCAAATGTTGACCGGAGTTGAGGTTGTATCGTCG